CAAGAGCAAGATCCTGAAGCTTGAAGCCGAGGCGCAGAAGTTGAGAGAGATGATCGATAAGAAGGAAGATGCGAAGAGGCAGAAACTCAGGGAGTGGGACAGTCTTGAACGCGAGGCGGATACGGCTCAGCTGAGGGTTGATCTTGCAGAGGGTTCACTACGAAGCATAAACGGGGAGGCGGATGTCAGCGATGCCTTCTAGTACCGGCGTTCGCTGGGTGACGATCTTGCAGACTACGACTGGTGATTCACGGCTGGTGGCTCCTTGGCATGAGGTTTCTTGGAGACTTGAGATGATAGTTTCGATTTGGCTTGCATCTGGATCTTGGAAGATAGCTTTCTGGTGGCATAGCGGGCGTTGAATGGCATAGCATTGGTAGCAACCGAGTCCTGATCACTAAATGCTTGAACGTTGTCTGCAGATAACTTGTGCTTTACCTGTGATGATTCAGTGACTCCCGAGACACTTTATACCGACAACGGAAGCTAAGTTGAGACCTTCGTGATGCTTGTGTAAGTTGTAAGCGCGTTCTCTTTTTCCAAGTTTCGCTCGCGCGAGTCTGGGTGTCTGTATTGTTGGTCACCCACCCAGACGGATGCTGAGACTATTGCGGATTACCGATTGGTCAGTATTAATTCTCACTTCTGACTCGCCGAACGCCAAATGTTTGCTGCAGCTGGTCGGTCGAACTAACCTACTCACCCGCCGCCTCAACCTTCGCCGACTGCTCTACTGTCGCACAAAATGGTGGGCAAGAAGGTGAGAAGTCTCGCATGATCGTAGCGACCAGGGACTAATTTGACTTTAGGAAGTCGCGAAGCCCGAAGCTGCCCCGCGCGGGGCCGCGAAGGCGAATGCTGCGACTGCTGCTCCCGCAGTACAGAAAGTTGACGATGCTATGGACGTGGACGCTGTAGGCGCAAAGCCTCATACGACAGCAGGCGACGACGCGACTGACCTCAATCCCAACGCTTCCACATCGGCAGAGGCGACGCGAAAACGAAAAGCGCCGCTTACCCACGCCAAAGACGAGTTTGCCGCCCTCCTCGAGCCCTTCTACTACGGAAAGAGTCTGACCGATCCGATCAATACTGCGCGCGATAAGTGGAATCTTCTACCGGCCTTTCTGAAGACCAAGGGACTGGTCAAGCAGCATGTCGACTCATACAACCACTTCGTCGATGTGGAACTCAAGAAAATCCTCAAGGCCAACCGTTTCGTCCGCAGCGATACCGACCCCAAGTTCCTTCTCGAGTACACAGACATTCGCGTCCTTTCCCCAAATCGACAGGAAGAAGATGACCTCGACCACCACCGCAGTACCATTACACCCAACGAGTGCCGATTGCGCGACATGACATACGCGGCGCCGATAGTAGTGGACATCATATATACCCGTGGGAACTCAAAGGTCAAGCGGACGGGTATCAAGATTGGGCGTATGCCTATAATGCTGAAAAGCAACAAGTGCGTGCTTGCAGGGAAGAACGATCGCGAAATGGCAGTCATGGACGAGTGTCCGCTAGACCCAGGAGGCTACTTCATCACCCGAGGACAAGAGAAGGTCATCCTGGTTCAAGAGCAGCTGAACAAGAATCGTGTCATTGTTGAGAGTGCCAAAGGCATCATGCAAGCCAGCGTCACGAGTTCTACACACGAGAGGCGTACCAAGACGTACGTTATTCAGAAGAAGGGTCTCATGTACCTCCGCCACAACACGCTTTCCGAAGAAATCCCGATTGTCTTCGTAATGAAGGCACTGGGTGTACACTCCGACAAGGAGATCATACTCTTGATAGCCGGCGAGGACACCGCGTACCAAGATAACTTCGCTGCCAATTTCGAGGCGTGCGCAAAGGAAGGCATACACACTCAGGAGCGAGCACTTGAGTATATCGGCCACCGCGTACGACTAGTGAAGAAGCCGCTCGGTACCTCGCGCAGTCGGAACTATCACTTAGAGGCTATCGAGTGTTTGTCCAACGTTGTCCTTCCCCACGTCCCAGTCGAAGGCACGAACTACCGACCAAAGGCACTATACGTGGCCCTCATGGCACGTCGAGTTCTGATGGCCATGCAAGACCCGAAGCTTGTAGACGATCGCGACTATGTCGGAAACAAGCGTCTCGAGTTGTCTGGACAGATGCTGTCACTCTTATTCGAAGATCACTTCAAGCGCTTCAACCACGACTTCAAGTTGAGCATCGACAAAGTACTGAAGAAACCCGTCCGAGCGCAAGAATTTGACGCCTTCTCGCACTTCAGCGTACACAAGAACCATATCACCATGGGTGTCGAGCGCGCCATTGCGACTGGAAATTGGAGTTTGAAGCGTTTCAAGATGGAGAGGGCGGGTGTGACTCACGTCTTGAGCAGACTGAGTTATATTGCGGCGCTGGGTATGATGACGAGAATCAGTTCGCAGTTCGAAAAGACGCGTAAGGTCTCTGGTCCCCGTGCGCTACAACCCTCGCAATTTGGCATGCTGTGCACCTCCGATACGCCTGAAGGTGAAGCTTGTGGTTTGGTCAAAAACCTGGCGCTCATGACGCATATCACAACCGAAGATGACGATGATCCAGTGCGCAAGATCGTGTTTATGCTGGGTGCCGAAGATATCTGTTTCCAGACTGGAGAGGAGATCCACGCAGATGGTGTATATAGTGTGTGTCTCAACGGTACACCTATCGCAGTCACCGACACACCTAAACGATTCCTCAACAGCTTCCGGAAACTCAGGAGAATGGGACGAATCTCCGAGTTCACTAGCATTCACATCGATCACGACCACTGCGAAGTTCACATCGCCACGGACGAAGGTCGAATCTGCCGGCCGATGATCATTGTCGAAAACCAACGGTCCAAGGTTACCTCGCGCTACCTCAAGGCGCTTCGCAAGGGCACCATGGAGTTTGAGGACTTCCTGACAAGAGGTCTGGTGGAGTACCTCGATACCAACGAAGAGAACGACACGAACATTGCTTTGAAGGAGAGCGAAATCAACCAATACACTACACATCTCGAAATCGAGCCCTTCACCATACTGGGCGCCGTTGCTGGTCTCATCCCATACCCACATCACAACCAGTCGCCTCGTAACACTTACCAATGCGCTATGGGTAAGCAAGCTATTGGCGCGATCGCCTACAACCAGTTCAAGAGGATAGACACACTGCTATACTTGATGGTCTATCCACAGCAGCCCATGGTCAAGACCCGCACCATTGAGCTCACCAAATACGACAAGCTGCCTGCCGGACAAAATGCAACCGTCGCTGTCATGTCCTACTCCGGATACGATATTGAGGATGCGCTCATCCTGAACAAGGCCTCCTGCGACCGTGGCTTCGGTCGCTGCCAGGTTCTGAAGAAGCATGTCACACCGCTGAAGACCTATGCCAACGGCACCTCTGACCGTATCAATGCCGGCGCTCTCGATGTGGATAACACCAGCCACCAAGCCATCGGACAAGACGGTATCGCCCAAGTTGGTGCGCGCATAGAAGCAGGCGACGCCTATCTTCTGAAATCCATTCCCCAAGACACCGCCGGGCCTGCAACAAACGTCTACAAAGACAAGCCCGACAAGTACAAGATGCCCGACTGCAGCTACATCGACAAAGCCTGCATCACCGAGAACGAAGCCGGAACGACCCTGATCAAGCTCCTCATGCGCCAAACACGACGTCCCGAACTCGGCGACAAGTTCTCCTCTCGCCACGGTCAAAAAGGAACAACAGGACTCATCGTCCAACAAGAAGACATGCCCTTCAACGACCAAGGCATCTGCCCCGACATCATCATGAACCCTCACGGATTCCCCTCGCGTATGACAGTCGGCAAGATGATGGAGCTCCTCTCAGGCAAAGCCGGTGTTCTAAACGGCACACTAGAATACGGCACCGCATTCGGCGGCTCCACCGTGGAAGACATGTCGCAGATCCTCGTAGAAAAAGGCTTCTCCTACACAGGAAAAGACTACCTGACAAGCGGCATCACAGGAGAAGCCCACCAATTCTACACCTTTTTCGGCCCGATCTACTACCAGAAACTCAAGCACATGGTGCAGGATAAGATGCATTCGCGTGCGAGGGGTCCGCGCGCTATCCTCACAAGACAGCCTACGGAGGGTAGGGCGAGGGACGGTGGATTGCGTCTGGGCGAGATGGAACGTGATTGTTTGATTGCGTATGGAGCTAGTCAGCTACTGCTTGAGCGGTTGATGATTAGTTCGGATGCGCATAATGTGGATGTCTGTGAGAAGTGTAAGTCGCTCTCTTCCCTTCACTATTCGAATTTTCCTTACAAGACCTCTGCTAATGATGATGACAGGTGGTCAAATGGGTTACAGCGGCTACTGCAAGCTCTGTGAGAGCGAAAAGGCGGTTCGCAAGATTACTATGCCGTATGCTGCTAAGCTTCTTATTCAGGAGCTGGGTAGTATGAATGTCAAGGTGACGATTGGGTTGGAAGATGAATTTCCAAGGGACGCTTAGGGAAGGAGAGAAGTGGATGCATGATTGGCGCTGATCTTGGACGGTACTGGGCTTGGGTGCATAGCGTGGCGTTTGTCATGATGATTTATTTACAGTGTACACGATTATGGAAATGTTACATTACCTGAGATGGTCTACAGCCTACATCAACATGAAAACATGCAAAGTAGGTGACCTAACGTCGATGTAGGCTCCAGGTCTGTTCGGGTCTTTTCTTGTATAAGGTGCAGTCGTTGTTGTGCATTGTAGCGTTACGAGATTCTATTCCCGTGCTGGAGGGCGTAGAGTTCCGGGTCGGATTCGGTATGAGACATAACGAAGAAAATGTACTCAGCAGCATTATTGCAAGCGAAGGACAGTCCACGATGGCGGATGTTGTTGACGGGAGGAATGATGAGGGCGGCGGGGGCGTCTTCAAAGCGCGCTAGCCTCACCCACTTTACGCGGTCGCGTCGACCGGAACGCGGTGCACTCCCGAGTAGCAACCATCACACCATACCACAATGGCTACCACACAGCGCCTCCGCGCTCGACAGGCCCGTAAGTAAACCGGGATCATAAATAAGAATTGCCATTCTGATTGAAGCTCTAGATGCCCCTGGCGCAACCTATCTCGCATACACACCCAACGGAAAGAAACTCGTCACAGCCGGAGTCGACAACTACTGCCGCGTCTTCACTACGGGCTCCGATGACGAGCCAGTCACGATAGATGAATGTCAGGAGAACAACACTGCTGTCGTAGCTGGGGTGCGCAATACAACATGATCAGGGTTGGGGCAACATACTGATCCTTAGGCAGAATGGCTACTTCATCACCGGCTCAGAGGACGGCACAGTGAGCAAGTTCTCGCTCGATAATGGCAAGTTCGAAGAGATTCTGGTCAGGACTACGCTCCCAGTACGGGATGTAGCTCTTAGCCCGGATGGCAACTGGATTGCCGTTGCCAGCGAGTACGTATGTGGCTCTAATCGTCCGATCTGGTCACTAACGAATGCAGTGAACTCGTCGTAAACCTCGTAAATGTCAAAGACAAGAGCATGAAAAGCTTGCGCGAACAGCCTCGAGCCGTCAAACACGTTTCCTTCGACAAGACCGGGACCCAACTAGCCGTATCCTGCACCGACGGTCACATCTACATGTATAACCTGGAGGGCGGAGAGCCTGAGATGGTCAACAGAGTGGAGGGCATGATCAAGAGCCTAGAAGCAGATGCGGAGACGAGTTCGAAAGTCCTTTGGCATCCAGATGGGCGAGCTTTTGCTACACCCACCGCCATGCGCCAGATACAGGTCATGTCGACGAGTGATTGGGAGAGGCAGCGAGTCTTCAAGACAGGTCATACAGCCGACATCACCGCCGCGGCATGGTCACCGAACGGTGCCTTGTTAGCAACTACCTCGAGCGATCTGAGCCTATGCCTTTGGGATACCAAGACACAGAAACAGCTCAAGAAGCTCGACGATGTCAAGGCTACAATACTCGCAATGGCATGGCACCCAACGGAGAACATTCTATCGTACACCAACAACGAAGGCGAACTCTTCATCCATACCGACCTCGTTCCCGACGAACATCTCCCCCTACTACAAAAGCCTACAGTCTCCGCTCCTTTCTTTCACGACCCCTCGGAAGGCCGAGCCGGTGTCCCACAACCAGCGAAGCTCACGAACGGCAACGTACAGACTCTCCCTGGACGGCCGAGACAAAGGAGTGGAACTCCGGACTCGTTAGAGGATATCTTGGGCCCAGAGTTCCAGGACGATGAAGCTCAAGTGGATGGCGATGAAGAGATGGAGGATTTCGTTATTGACGACGATGGCGCTGGATATGCTCCTGCAATCACAGCTGCTAAGAAACGTCCAAACGGACATCTCACTAGCGGCGTAGAACCTGCCTCGAAACGTCGCGCATACAGCTCAGCCCTCTTCCGTCCCCAAGTACACGAGCCATTTCAACCAGGTAGTACACCCTGGCGCGGAAACCGCCGGCTACTCTGCTGTTCATTAACCGGATATGTCGAGACCGTGGAACAGGAGGGCAAGCATCATACAGTAAGCGTCAAATTCTACGATGAACACACATTCCGCAACTTCCACTTCACCGACGTCTTCCTATACGACAAATCTTGCCTCAACGAGAACGGGACACTGTTCGCCTGCCAACCCAACAGCACAGGTGACGGCAACCCAGCAATGATATACTACCGACCGCACGAGACATGGACGACAAGAACCGAATGGCGGACCAATCTGCCGACTGGAGAATCCGTCACTGCGATTGCACTATCGAATTCATATGTCTGCGTAACTACATCGACAAACTACGTGCGCATATACTCACTCTTCGGTCTTCCGGTACGCGTCTACAGGCAAAAGAGTTCTCCAGCAGTCACCTGCGCAGCGTGGCGCGACTACATCCTCACGATTGGCAACGGACCCATCCAAAACGACCTCAGCACCCAACTCCTCTACACGATCGAAAACATCAAACACGACGTCGTCTACCAAGACTCCGACATCCTCGCCCTACCCCCAGGCACAACTCTAACCTCCGTCTTCTTCTCCGCAGAAGGAGACCCCTACATCTACGACTCCTCAGGCGTCCTCCTCACCCTCCTCGGCTGGAGAAACACCGGCCAGGCACGCTGGGTCCCCATGCTCGACACCAAACTCCTCTCGCGCCGCGCCGGCGGCGGAAAAGAAGAGTCCTACTGGCCCGTCGGCGTCGCTTCATCACCCACATCCTCCGAAGGCATAGGAGGCGCAAAGTTCCACTGCATGATCATCAAAGGGCGAGAACAATACCCCTCAGCACCCGTCCCGCACCTCTCCGAATTCGGCTTCGAAATCCCGCTCACGAGTGTCATCGACAAAGCCAGGAGCAAGAAGAACAGAAGAGGAGGCGAGGAAAGCGACATGGAAGACGAGGACGAAGACGCCAACGCGCCTCAGACCAACGAGGAGAAACAGCAAGACCACGAACAAGCCTTCATCCTCGCTTCGACACTACATTCGCAACTCTCTTCCACCCTGCTCCACACGCGTCCGACGGCGTCGCAGAAATCGGCGCTGAGTACGCTCGAAGTGGCGATTGACCGTGCGCTGCTTCAGTTGCTTGGGTTGGAGTGTCTGGCGGGTGAGGATCATGGGATGAAGGCGCTGGAGATTGTTAGTTTGATGAGGGATGCGAATGGCAAGATGCTGGATTTGGCGGGTAAGGTGGCGAGTAGGTATGGCAGGGAGGTGCTTGGAGAGAAGATTAGGGAGTTGGCGGAGAAGAAGGCGCTGGCTAGGGATGATGCCGATGAGGACGACTTCTAGGTACTGGGGTTAAATGAGGGATATTGTGCAATCGTTGCTTTGATGCAGTGATGATTTATCTGGGTAGCACAGCGAGCGTTCGCTGCTCAATATAGCACATAATTCGAGGAGAATATTGAACGCCCTAGAGCCTACGTTAACGGTTGGTTACCTGCTTTGCGTGTTTCTATCTTCATGTAGGCCTTAGGCCTGTTTAATGTTTTTCTTGTGCAAGGGTCTACTGATCAATCAATCATCTTATAATACTTGATCAAATGTTAGATCATGGAAAGTGCCGCTTGACAATTTATTGGCATTACTAAAGGGAGTAACATAGAAAGAGGACAATTGATCCCAAATCGCTTCATGTATGGAGAAGAAGGTACGCTAGAAGCTCTCCTTGTAAACGCCGTAGCCCGCCATTATCAATCTGGTACTTGTCTCTCTTCAAAAGCGAGGCTTCGAACAAGACACACTCCAATCAACAATGTAGAGCCATACTGCTCTTGAACACGCTACACAGTACGGTGAGAAGCCGTCTAGTACTCTGCCTCAACACCCTCATCATCCCCGAGGGAGTCAGCTGCGACCTCTTCGTAATCGCGCTCCAAGGCAGCGAGATCTTCACGAGCCTCGGAGAATTCACCCTCCTCCATACCCTCACCAACGTACCAGTGGACGAAGGCACGCTTGCTGTACATGAGGTCGAACTTGTGCGAGAGAGCAGACCAGGCCTCGCTAATGGCCGTGGTGTTGGACAACATGCAGACAGCGCGGTTGACAGCGGCGAGGTCACCGTTGGGGACCATCTGGGGGGGCTGGTAGCAGATACCAACCTTGAAACCGGTAGGGCACCAGTCGACGAACTGGACGGTGCGCTTGGTCTTGACCTGGGCAATGGCAGCGTGGGTGTCCTTGGGGACAACGTCACCACGGTACAACAGGCAGGTGGCCATGTACTTTCCGTTGCGAGGATCGCACTTGACCATCTGGTTGTTGGGCTCGAAGCAGGCGTTGGTGATCTCCATGACCGAGTTGGCCTCGTGTGCGGCCTTGGCGGCGGAGATGACGGGAGCATAGGCGACGAGAGGGAAATGGATGCGAGGGTAGGGGACCAAGTTGGTCTGGAACTCGTTCAGGTCGACGTTGAGGGAACCGTCGAATCGGAGGGAGGCGGTAATGGACGAGACGACTGAGTCAGGTTAGCAGAGTGGATTTCTAAGCAGGCTCTGGCAGCTTACCCTGGGCAATGAGACGGTTGAGGTTCTCGTAGTTGGGGCGCTCGATACCGAGGTTCCTTCGGCAGATGTCGTAGATGGCCTCGTTGTCAACCATGAAGGAGCAGTCGGAGTGCTCGAGTGTGGTGTGGGTGGTCAGGATGGAGTTGTATGGCTCGACGACCGATGTGGCGACCTGGGGCGCTGGGTAGACACAGAACTCGAGCTTGCACTTCTTGCCGTAGTCGACGGACAGACGCTCCATGAGCAGGGCGCCGAAACCAGATCCAGTTCCTCCACCGAAGGAGTGGAAGACGAGGAAACCTTGCAGACCTGAGCAGTTGTCGGCAACGCGGCGGACCTTGTCGAGGACCTGGTCGATGAGCTCCTTTCCGACGGTGTAGTGACCACGGGCGTAGTTGTTCGAGGCATCCTCCTTGCCTGTGATCATCTGCTCGGGGTGGAAGAGGGAGCGGTAAGGGCCGGTGCGGACCTCGTCGACGACGTTGGGCTCAAGATCGGCGTAGATGGTACGGGGGACATACTTGCCCTGGCCTGCGCAGTGTTAGCAGTCGAAATGGCGCTCCGGGGCGAAAGCTGCCTACCCGTCTCGGAGAAGAAGGTGCTGAAGCCGTGGTCGTCGTTCAGGGCCTTGCGCTCCTCGGTGAGGAAACCATCGGGCTGGATGCCGTGCTCGAGGCAGTAGAGCTGGAAAGCCGAGTCAGTATATCGCGCACTGGCGGTGAGCTATCCGCAGCCCCTTCTTCCGGCGTAGAATGGGATGCAGCAGCAGCAGCGCGTGTCGTCGGGTGCAACTCACCTCCCAGCAAGAGTTTGCGATCTGGCAACCGGCCTGGCCGACTAGACGCGTACAAAGTCAGCATCAACAAATAGCCAGGGATGTCCCGCTGCAGGCGGTCAGGGCGCGCATGGCGCAAGGGACGACATACCGTTCAGACTGATGACTTCTCTCATGGTGGCGTAGAGCAAAGGTAGTAATTGGGGTATCGAAATGGAGTCTCGGGGGAACCTGGGCGGCGAGGGTTGAAGCTGCTGTCGGTGGGAGTGGAGCAGTGGGGGAGAAGTGCTGTTGTGTTGTGGAATCGAACTTTTAGGCCAAAAGGGTCCGCCTATCACGGACCACGGCGCTAAGCTACACGTCCAATGCAGCTGCCTGGCCGTTGCGCGAGAAACACGACCTCATCGGACGAATTCAAGCCTGTTGTTCCTCTGCCTGCCTATGGCGCTGCTCTGGCCGACGTGAGAGACAATGAATGGCGGTCCTCCCAACTCTCCCCCATCTTCACGTGCTGTCCGCCAAAGATGCGCCTCTCCGCCGGGCTGCTCTGCATCGTCACGCAGGCCTGGACGGTGAATGCCAACGTCGAGAAGACGATATTCCTTGGTCCCAGCCCTGTGACTCTCTCCAATGTCCGCCCCGGGCTAGATGACCTCGGCCTGCACTACCTGTCGCCCTCGTCCACCATCCTCCCGATCCGAGTCCCTGTCCAGTTTCCCACCGAGTCGCTGCCCCGCGGTCTCGAGTCCTGGTACTTGCTTCGCGGCCTGCAAGACGGCAGGAGGTACGAGGTGCGCATCTGCTGGCCGGCCACCGTGAGTCTACTGCTCCTTCCCGTTGCATATCGCATGCATCGTCTCACATGATTGTTTGTACTGACCTGCCCAGCAACCCACCGACTTCTGGCTTGACACTTACTCAGTCACCCACGTATTTGATACTCCCGAGTTCATATCTTCGTTATCAGAGTATAACTCAGTCATTCGACGCGACCCAGTGGACGACGACGGAAACACCAAGGAAGCGCCGCCCGCAGCTCCAGAGTCGGTACTGTTCTTGCGCCTCCAGGCTGCAGCGTCCTACTATTCGACCAATCGCACATTGATGGACTACCCGCCTCCAGTTGATGCCGATATCAGTACGTCTAATCCCACTAACATGTCATGCGTCGTCTAACAACCATAGTACTCGATCCCTTCATACTGAACGTCTTCCCACAATCACTTGGCCCAATCGCGATATACATTACCGCAGTCGCTCTAGGAGCCTGGTTTCTCTCCGGCCACATCTACCGCTGGCTGCTTTCCGTCGCTGCCGAGTCACCCAGCAAACCTCACACCGATTGAGCAGCCACCTCATACAAGAAAAAAACTGAACAGGTCTGCAGACTACATCAAGTCAAAACCTTGCAAAGGCGGTGACCCAGCGCCAACGTAGGCTCCAGGCTGTTCGTTTTTTTTTAGGTTGGCGTGCGCTTGTCATTCACGCACTTTCACGCAACAATGTCTGCAGCGCCTCCGCCTCCACCTCCACCTCCGCCGCCACCGCACAAGCCACCGTCTGATGACAAATGCGATAGATTGTTCAATCTCCTTCCCGCCGAACTGCTCCTCATGATAATCAACTACGCGGGTGTCGGTAGTATTATGAACCTTGCTCTAGCCATCTATCCTACCCTGCAGCGGCATCGGATCGCCCCGGAGCTTAGTGCGCACACCTACTTCAGCATAGTACGTGTGGATAGGACCTCGAATACAAGCAACAGAAGACGACCCCTACCGCAAGGTCTCGATCGGATGCCCATGGAGCTGTGGTTTCAAGTGGCTCGAGATCTAGAACCAATCGACATCCTGTCCATGATGTTCGCTATCGGCGCATACCCGCGAGACTCGCTTACCCAGGAGACAGCGGAGAGGATGAGGGATTTGAGCTTGAACTGGTGCGGGAAATCAAAGAAAAAGGATTGACAAACTATGGCTGAAACGGGATGCGATAGCTAGACAGATACCATACCATACAATGAAAAAGAGCCGAACATGCCTAGAGCCTACATTGACGTTAGGTTACCTACTTTGCATGTTTTCATGTTGATGTAGGCTGTAACCACAAAAACGTAGGTTGCGGCCTGTTCAGTTTGTCCCTAGGTTGACGTTACCCGAATAGCTCGATATGCGAGCGGCAAGCGTATCTAGGGTTTGCTCAGACACTGGTGCTTGCTGTCGAACACACCCTGATCTTTCGACTCTGGACCAGGGTCGGTACCTGGAAGAATTGTGAACGTTTTGGACTCTGGAAGAGGAATGAGCAGGAGTACGATGGTGCAAACGGCCACAGCTGTATGATGTAGAGTATGAGCCTGGAACAGATCGAACTTGAGCAGATCGCTGAGCTTCTACGTGAGAACAACGCCATGCCCACCAACCATCCTACTTTGCACGCACCTCATACAAAACTGAACAGGTCTGGAGCCTACATCGACGCCAGGTCATGTATTTTGTAAGCTTCCATGTTGATGTAGGCTGCAGGCCTGTTTAGGTTCTTGTTTTTCTTAGTTGACGTGCATATGAGGCTGGAAGCATGCTGCACGGACGTTGACGGCTCAACAGATGCCAGCTCCTCACCCACCGCAGTTGAGCGACGCTAAAGATTACCCCATACCCAAACACGCCCTAGGGCGTTCATTAGTCACAATCCGCCGCGCTCGTCCCGTGAAAAAGTTCCTGGGTCCTGTAAACCTCGGTGCTTCGCAATCATCTCATCTTGAATATTGTTAGAGGAATCCTTCCGTGGAACAAAAGCCACAATGGTGCTCACGGACGAAGAGCAGCCTCTGCTCAGAATAATATCGCATGACTACGAAAGCGTCCAACAAGAGAATGATGCCGAGGAAGCTGGAAATGACGCGCTTGATTTTGAGCCTCTGGACCCTGAGGACCCTCGCAACTGGTCGCCAGGTTTCAAATGGGGTATCGTTTTGTTGCTTGCTCTTATGGCGTTCACCGTGTATGCATATTCTCCCAGCACTCCAATTGTCAAAAGAACTTCGACGCTGACCATGTCTACAGAACGTTTACTTGCATTGGCGTGGTACCGGTCGCCAGCAAGATCGTCTCGGATCTCGATGGAAAGCAATCGAGCTCTGCAAACAGCGCGCTCCTCGTGACTATCTGGGAACTTGGAGAAGCCGCTGGACCATTACTTATCGCACCGTTATCGGAGATTTTTGGACGCTATCCTGTCTTCAACGTTTGTAACATCGGCTTCATCGCTGCGACTATCCTAGCAGTTTGCAGCCAGAACAGCGGCATGTTCATTGCTGCGAGGATGCTCACAGGTCTTTGCGTCGCTTCAAACGTCCTCAATCCAGCCATTATCGGAGACATCTTCGAGAGCGAGCAACGCGGCTCCGCAATGTCTTTGGTTATGCTTGCGCCGCTCATTGGAGGAGCTATCGGCCCTGCCATCTCTGGCACCATCGCAGAGACGATAGGGTGGCGACGCATGTTGACCATCGCCGCCGGACTAGCTATCGTGTGCGAAGTTCTGTTCCTCGTCTACTTCAGAGAGACGTACAAGATGGCTGTTTTGAGAAGAAGAGCAGCGAAGACGATGCAGGAAACTGGAAAGGTTCCGGAGTCGAAGAGCACGCATGAGTATCTAGCAAAGCTCTGGCACTCTATCACCAGGCCTTTTGCGGTCTTGTTCGGTTCGAGCGTACTCATGCTTCTCTCGCTATTTGCCTCGGTCGCGTTCAGCTTCTTTTACGTTGTCAGCGTTTCATTACCCTCGATCTTGCTTGACAGGTATGACTTCAAGTTCGGCCAGATTGGTTACACTTTTATCTCGTTCAGTAAGTATCTTGATATGCTTGAACCCACGGCAGCTAACAGATATCTAGGCGTCGGATCTTTCTGCAGTGTATTAGTATGCAACTTTACGCTCGATAGGATATACGTCAAGCTTCGCGGGCCCGATGGCGGAAAAGGAAAACCAGAGTACCGCCTTCCTCTTTCTATCCTGGGTGCGATCCTCTTGCCTTTCTCGGTAATCGCATACGGCTGGATCGCAGAATACCGTCTGCCTGTACTCCTGCTTCTCGCCTCGGTGGCCCTGATGGGGTTCTCGCTCCTTCTGACTGTTATACCGTTATCTGCTTACGTCGTTGACGCTTGCGGTATGTACTCCGCATCGGCTATGACGGGCGTCATCGTCACGCGATGCCTTATGGGCACCTTCCTGCCACTCACGACTGGTCCATTGTCTGACGCACTTGGTTATGGGCTAGGCTTCACTCTTTTGGGCGCACTGAGCTTGTGTTTGGTCATCATCCCGTTATGCATATTCAAGTTTGGGGAGAAGTGGCGGCAGCATTCAGAATTCACGAAAGACACTTGAAGCACCTTACACAGGAAAAAAAACTAAACAGGTCTAGAGCCTACATTAACGCTAGGTTAACTACTTTGTATGCTTCTATATTAATGTAGGCTGCAGGCCGATCTAGCCTTTTTCTTGATTGACGTAGAAGGGTAAGAAGCTGCAACGTTAATTCCTGCCATACAAACATATTGTGTAAAAGCCACTTCCTCAAGTTCGCATAGCTCCTACGATCTATGTCCGCACTTTCTGGGAAAGTACCCGTCATCGATGCCGTACAAAAGCTGCACCGTGCCTCCGTTTTCCGTTCCTTTTCTGCACTCCATCATCAACAGCCACAAGCTTGCTGATCAAATCCGAGCACATCCTTCCAGTATCCACAAGCTTAGCACGCCATGAAGTTCTTTACCTTAGCTCTCGCAACTCTGCTAGCCCAGACGGTCACGATCGCCCAAAGTCTGTTCAAGCACCAGTCCAATGGCTTCCGTCTTATCCTCAAGTCAATCGACAAAAACTTCAATGAGTACATACGACCACCCTTCAGCCCTTTTCTTCATCCTGACAGATAGCAGCCACGCACTCGGAGTTTGCCATTGGTCCGCAGTCCACGAAGGCCTATGCCTGTACGATGACACGACTGCCACCCCTGCACGTCCCCCCACTACCTTCTACCACAACGTATCCTCCTACGACGACATCCAGGGTATTCTCAACTGGCCCCCGCCTCTTTGGGGCACCGATGATCCCGTCTCGTCCGCAATGCAGTTCGACTATGTTGCTGGGACCAATCTCGTGTACGCGACTTTCACGCCCGGGACCGACACATACCAACTGGTGTGCTTCGAAGAGGGCAGCGCTAGCATGTACATTGCAATCGCCGGAGATGATACTCGCAAGGCCCCTGATTGGGTTGATCCACCGAAAGAAGGTCAAGAATTGGTATCTGTGTGCTATGAGGTTTGACTCTAGGCAGTTTTCGCTGGCATGGAAGATAGGTTTTGTGGGCGAGCCGCAAAATCCCATGTGTTGGAAGGTCGACGTAGTGAGGGTGTGGGTTTGAGGAGATAAGGATTCAAGATGTTTTGTGCTTCCCGGGTGTCAGTGCGGGACTATCTGATTCTTCTCGCGAAGGAAGGAGTCCGTTGCGGTTGACTGGACTGTTCTGGCGACGGGTGTAGTAGTCAAGGTGTCTTTTCATTGTTTGAATTTTGCCTTTTTGTTCCAGTACACGCAAATAGATTCTTCATCTTTTCAGGCTCATCAACGCAGGACGTTTTGAACCTTCCTCGGAACGGCACGACGCTATCTAGGGCTGCGAGCTGAATGCGATACGCGAGCAGCTACCATACGGCTTCCACTGCGTTTATTCCGTCCCGAACTAACCTCAGTATCTGGGTATTTGGGCTATACTTCTTCCAAACGAGCAACTACGCATGTAGCCGAGACCCGCCACCACTCTCTTCCTCAACTGACCACACAAGGTGATCATATCAATGAAAAGAAAAATTGTAGCCCCCCGCGGGGACTTCCGCCGAGATCCGTTGCTCACGCCAAATGAACCTGGTTCTCGCCCACTGATCAGTAGGGACAACATGCCTGGAGTTGGCGGAGATGATAGTGAGTAAGGGACCTGTCGATCCTCAGCTCGCACCTGGACACCTCGCCGGTAGATGAGAGTAGAACGGCCTGTTCTACCTGGTAAGTATGGATGTCTTCAGTGCGAACCAAGGAAGAGAGGACGCAACATCATACTATCGCTGACAAGAGACCCCCACCTCAAGACGGCAGTAGAGAATAGCTTTTGACCCGGCTGTTCAAACAGCAGAAGCTAACCCCCGCCTTAGAACCGGAAAGAATTCTCCCTGGCACTGTTGAAGTGCCCATTTAAACGGACGAGTGGTGTGAAAGGAGAACCCTACGAAGACTCTCAGCAGCGATAGGATGGGGTTGCGGATAAGAGAAAGGAAGAAACCACGGCGCCAAACTGCCGTCGTCAAGAGTCCAATACCAATATCATCGAGCAGTACCAGGCGTGTAAGATACTTCCGAAACTGTTGAAGGTTCGTTGCTCTAAAAAGACCGTCGATGGCGGTAGTTAGGCGTGTGGGTGGGTTAGAAGAAAGAAGTAGCTGGGCGGGCACAATATATGTCCAGTGGCGGGCGCACGAGCCCACTCCTATGACGTCCTCAGGGAATATAGTCCAGGCAGCAAAGTGAGAGCGCGCCTCAGTCTAGTGGATCCAAGGCAAAGTGATAGTGAGTGAGCAATGAGTTCGAAGGAGGGAGTGGGAGGCAGCATTTCTCGATGTATACTACTCAGGTACCAGTACAATGTAGCAGATGAAGCCAACCTCGCTACTTCCTCGTCTTGGTAGCTCAACATCTCACCATTACGTGATGCTGTTCCTCTTGACTTCTCGTGCTACCAGTGCTACGATACCTAGATAATGTCGGCCGCTCAGGATTTAGCTTCAAGGTCTGACCAGCATCCTGAATCTCGACATGTTGTTGTTCTGATTCGGACATTCGGGATAGCCCAGCGGAAAGTGAAGTACGGAGTAGTACTGACCTAGGTGGTATGTCTGAGCAGGCCCGTGCGTTCTCGCGCATCAAGCATCGCCCACCAGAGCGACATGATCAACCTCACGACCCGCTCAACCCACGCCACGATGAAGACGTCACTCGCCACCCTCTCGTCTTTCGCGACGCTCACAAGCGCTGCACGTCTGCTGCTACAAATCCCGAACTCGGTCCTTGTCAATCCGTCCACGCTCCCCTCGACCACGCACGCAACGCTCCAGTCCTCCGGCCCGCCCCTTGATGCCTATCTCACGCGCTCCAACACGTTCAACTTCAACAATGTGAGCGCCGGAAGCTACCTTGCTACCGTGCATTGCCGCGACTATGCGTTCGAGCCATTGAGGATTGATGTCACCGTGGAAGAGGCGGCAGAGGGCAGCGGGGAGAAGAAGGAGATGATCAGGGCATACCAGACCTTCCTGGGTAACGAATGGGACAACAAGGGAGAGAGCCGCGGCGAGGGCGGTAGCGGTTTGGTGGTTGAAGCCAGGCCGGTAGGAACCAAGTACTTCTACCAAGAGAGGCAAGGCTGTAAGTTGACATCGCCACAATGCGCAATGGGGATATTGTGCTAACACGCCGCAGTCTCACCGCTGTCATTCTTGAAGAATCCTATGATTCTCATGGCGATAGTGTCCATGGGCCTCATCTTCGGCATGCCCAAACTGATGGAGAACAGTAAGTCTCTCGGCAGCCCATTAGGTACTGCCAAGGTTACTGACACATGCGTAGTGGACCCCGAGATGAAGGAAGAATTCGAGGAGATGAAGAAGAACGGCGTCCTGGGCTCCGGAAACACCAACACTGCATCGCAGTTACAGAACTTTGACCTCGCCTCGTGGATGGCCGGTAAGACCGACTCGGGCAGCGCGAGCGCACGTACACAGAGTCCTGCAGGGCAGACGAAGAAACGATAGACAGCGGACACACAGAGTCTCGGAGGACAGCGAAGCGCTCAGGTCCTTCGACACAGAGTATGCCTATATCGGCAGCGAGCAATATACACTATCAACAAGCTAGGACTGTGTTCTTGACTTATAGAGGAAACGCATATACTGCAGCGATTCGTCCGCTCCATGAAGGCCTCATACGCAGTCTCCGGCATGAGCAGGAGGAATCTCACAGAATCAGACATCCGGCGACTGCTAGCGGTATCCGCATGCGCATGTTCCTATCGCTTCATGTTGTCTTTCCGACCTAGCTGTCTGGGCAAAAGCCATCACAATGCTTGATTCCTGACTAATCTATGCAGGATCATACAGATAGCTGAGGAGCCTCTCGTCGTAGTCAGACTTCATAGGCATCTCTCGCTCCTTCCTCATCAGTTAGGAACCAAGAAACCAAAGCAGCCTGTCTCACACAATCCTGCTACATCTTGGAGCTGTCATTTCGTAAATCGACATTAGCTGAACTCCAGCTTCCGCCCCGCAGCTTACCCAAGTGTTGTAGCTGCTTATTCACGCTCTTGACTTTCCATCTCGACCAATCGGGTATGCGCTAGCCCCCGTAGAAGCAAGCCACACTCTCGACCCAGCGAGACAGCGTCGGTACAATCGCGTTGCACAGTTCATATAGCGTATCTGGGATCCTCTCTTTATCTCTCCCAGTTATTTGCGCCTTCACCTACTTCGTGATGAGCAAGATGGCTGGTATTCCGCACATGCCGGCTGCTGACATGGACGATCCAACAAGCACGACAACAAGCGCACAGCATGATCCTCACCAGCACCATCATGCACACATTGGTCACCACACGGGCAAGAGGCTGAAACACTTTCTGAGACCAGATGGAAGAAAGGTGCACATTGCGAGTTCCCCCGATGAAGCAAATCACATGAGGAGGAAGCTGAGCAATGCGAGCGAGAAAGAAGACTTCGACCTAGTCATCCATGGATCTCCCGAACATGTTAGTTCTACACAAGAATTAGAGAGTCATGGCATGGAACAATCGCTCTACTAACGCACACAGATCGAAGCACTCCGCCACACCCACGCCCACCACACTGCGCACCACCGCCAACTGCACCAAGACCATGGCGACCTAGCCCAAGAATTCGAGCGCGTAATCCGCGACCTCGACACCCTCTCCACCGAACTCCACATGCTAACCTCGCACGCCGTGCAACTCGACGCCAACTTCTCCAAATACGGTTACTCAGCCCATCTACGCACCAAAGAAGACGGCCCATCAACAGACTCCCTCGCTGAGTCCTCCTTCGATAAAGAAACATGGCACTCTGATCGTCAACACGGTACAGCAATCCACTTCTACCAAAAGCCTATCGTACGACAGTACTTCCACAAGGGGCTCCTCTGGCGCGCAAAAGAAGCACAGGAAGTGGCTAGCTACGAACTCTTCATTGACCTCTTCTACGTGGGCATCATCGCCATAACAGGCGATTCTGCAGCTGAACATCCAACCGCGCAGTCCTTGCTCCGTTTCACAATCACTTTCATCATGGGCTGGAAATTCTGGACGGACATCGGAGTGCTGGTGTCGTGGTTCGATAGCGATGATGTGATCAGGCGGGTTTCTGTACTCTTTCTGCTAACGTGTTTGTTGGGCTTTACGACGAACATGGTTGAGGCGTGGGAGAGAACGTACGCACCGCTTGTAGGATTCTATCTCGCGGCGAGACTGTTTGTGACGAGCTGTTGGTTTTGGTACGCATGGCGTATCCCCATGGTGAGGGGGAGTATGTTGGGGAATGCGTTACTTTCTTTGATACCGGCGGTGCTTTGGATGGCGAGCGTGAGTGTGGAGGAACCGAAGCGACAGGGACTTATTTGGGTGGCTATCTTGTTCGATCTTTTCGGCCAGTTTAGCATGGTGTTGCTTCAGCGGCCGGGATCGCCCATCGCGCGCTTCGTGCCTGAGTCGTGGAAGAGGAGTCTGGAGTTCTATCCCGCGACGAATATCGAGCATCGAATTGAGCGGACGAATGCGTTCGTTACGCTGGTGTTTGGGTCTTGTGTATTGGGCTTGCTGTATCAGAGTAGTGTGGCGATGGGTATCAATGCGTTCTTTGGAAAGGCGGTGCTGGGTTTGGTGCAGACGTTCGTGTTGAATTGGGTGTACTTTGAGATTGACTCGTTCAATCTTCATACACATGCTATCCGCCGACATGTGTTCTCTGGTAAGTCAGACCCCCAAACGCTCCCACGCCGATAATAACGATCAACCAGCTTTGACATGGTTCTCCGCCCACCTCCCTTTCATCATGTCTTTCGTCCTATCCGCATCAGCCCTCGGCGTCCTAGTCCGCGCCCACGACGCCGCCTCCGCACCCCTAGAATCTCTATCAGAAACCTTCGTTTCCCGCTCCGAAGACCACATCTCCGATGGCCTAGTCTGGTTCTACTGCGGCGGTCTAGGCATCTCGCTCCTCTGCCTCACCGTCATCTCAGCAACACACGTCCACCGCACGATTCCCAACCAGCGACTCCGCAAACCCGTGCGTCTCCTCTTCCGCGCTGCTGTTTCTGTCATCATACTCACTCTTCCTCTTGCACACCTCGATAGCCTGCGGTTGATAGCAACGACCACGGGACTAGTCGTGTCTGTGCTAGTGCTTGAATTGGTCGGCGTGGCGTGCTGGGGTGAAAACTTCTTCTGGGAAAAGGAGTGTAAGAGGGATCAGGCGACGTATAGTGCGAGGTGTGCGGTTAAGAGAGAGGAGTTGGAGAAGAGTGTTAGGGAGGGGACGGTTGTGGATGTAGAAGAGATCGCGAGGAGGGAGGGTGGGGAGAAGGGCGTTGTTGGTGTGGTTTGAGTGGACATAATCGGGACATGATGACGATATTTTACGTCTTTAATACTCTAATGAGTATGATGATACAACGGGCTTCAGATAAATCTCGAAATAGCTCAAATACCGTCGCTAAATGCCACCAATGTGTTCGACTTGAACACACAGACTTGAACATAGGAAAAAGATCGACCATCAATTCCCTACTCTTCATCTCCAACCTTGGTCTTGTTTTGCTCATCATGGAAGCGAATCGTCCTTCCAGGAATGACTCTCTCAGCCGGGTCTGGCGCCTCGCCATTCTCACCACCAGCCTTCACACCTCCTTTGGGCGCCGCACCCTCCCCGTCCGAGACCAAGGCGTTGACACTGGCCATCGGTACTGGTGGCTGACTAGCTGAGCGGCTCGTGCTAGGTGCCCTTGATGTAGCCCTTGATGTACTCGCCGAGCTAGTCCCCGAACTGATTATAGACCTGCCGATGCGCACGACGCGGTTTGGCAGCGAGTCGCCACCGTTGCGCGACCAGCCTGGACGGCGGCGAACACGCGCTTCGGCATCGGTGATGGTCTGGTCATTTCCCTCGATGTGGAAAGCTGGACCGGTGTCCTCGGGGGAGTTAGAGCCTGTGCGGGCAAAGGACAAAGCTGTGCTGAGGGTGCGAGGGATGAAGAAGCCGACTTTTCCGAGAGGAATGGACAGACCGTGAACGACCTGGTTGACATTAGAAAACAAGGTTCTCAGATTACGGAAGACGAGTGTACTTACAACTGAGCAGATTACCAAGAACCAAATAACCACGTTCATGACTTCCATCAGGTATGCAGCATCTTCCCTGACTTCGCCATCGACTTGAATCTTGGCGAGAAACTCGAGACTGATGTAGAGGTAGAAAATGGCGCTCACACCGATGGGACCGAAGAAGCCCACGAAGAGTGCTTGTCGCTTTTGCTCAATCTGATGAATCTGTTTGTGCATAGCGAAGATGATGGGCAGACGGCGGAACAGCAGTACGAGTATACCCAAGGGAATGAGCCGATAGATGGGAATGACGGGCGAGTGTGCGAAGAGGCGCCACGGGCAGACAGCGCCGAACCAGATGAAGATGGATACGTTCAAGAGCATATCGATGGTAGGCTGGAATGAGTCGTCCATCGTTTCGAGGCGGAACCAGTCATCCCAGGTAAATGTGTTCCCTGCGATGAAACAGGCAAGCACGTCGTCGCTACCAATCATACCGCATGTGCCAACAATGAAGAGCTAATTCTGCGGTCAGTGACTCTCACATCATCAAGATTCTCATGAGAAACTTACAGCCAAAGTGATTGCAAACACCAAGAAACTCTCGCGGTCCACGTATTTCCGCTCTTCAGCCCAATGCAGTAATTCCTTCGCAATCCAACCCACGGCAGCTCCGTAAACCACACTGAGTATGATTGTGTAGCCCCAAGTTTCACCGAACCACAGGCCTACTGCAACTCTAGTGCTGTTGTCCGAGCCCTGACCTCCATGGCCAATATGCTCGATAAGGTAGAGCGGTAGAAATAAGAACGGGTACCCAAGGCCATCATTGGCTCCCGATTCAGCCACGATAATCTTCTGCAACTCCTTCGGAATGTTTGCATCCGCAAACTTTCCCTTAACGATGGAGTTGGACAATACAGGATCCGTGGGTGTGACGCAAGCGCCTACGGCCAGGGCATGCAGGAAGCTGATGTGCGGGACCATAGCGAAGACAAGCAGACTGGTCACGATCCACATGAACGTCATGCCCGGGCCGAGTAGTAAAGCTAAGCTCTTCCATTCTGTCTTCAGATATTTTGAGGGAAGCTGCACACCTGCGAGGACAAGTTGGACACCCAGCACCAGGCGCGTAAAGTACAGGGTAATAGTATCCAGCACTTCGACATCGTTGAGAGCGTATTCTTCTGGTTTGATCCAATTCGTCGCATGTGGAGAAAAGATGAGTCCAGCGATAAGTGATATTACTAAACACACGCAGATTAGCTATGCGCTCTTCTTTGCCCAAGATTCCCATGGTCCAGACCCAGGCGGTCAGCAACTTACAGGCTTCACTAAGATAATAATGCTCTTTCATCAAGTAGCTGACGAGGCCGAAAAGCGTAATGAACCCTCCCAATGTCGCACAGACAATGTTGAAGTTGTTGACCGCCAAGGTAGGCATGGCTGGCCACCGAACCCTGAACGGACCCTCAAAATCCGGCGAACGGCTATGTCGGCTTCTTCGATGGCTCTGCTAAACTCTCGGCGAAGCTTGACGGCAAAGCTTAACAAATATCTTCTCCTGCTTCACGAGGTTGTGAGAGACGACTAAAGCGACTGCAACCCTCTCTTTCTTGTGCAAAGTGGTGTTCGCCTTTTATGTAGAGTTGTTCGGTCGATCCGTGGGGTAAATGTTAGCGTTTCGGTGATACTTGGGCGGTCTGCGATCACAAGACACAACGACACCAAAAGCTTGGTGGTGATGACAAGAGGCTTGGTCTGCACAAGAAAGCAACAGGTGGTAATATAAGTGGAAAATGTGGGGAGTGGTTGGCATCTTGAAGAGATCGCGACGAAGGCGAACGTGGGTCGCACACGCGTAGCGCCTTGGCTGACGGCTTGTACAAGGCTGTGTGAAGGCTTGGTATTTTGGAATTAAATACCTCAACCTTTACAGACATGCCACGGGACTGGATTTTTGAACAACCTGGCGCGGGTACCGCTTCGATTCTCTACTTATCGCGGATCACGTGCCGAAATCGAGAAAACGTGTCACAATGCTTATTTACAATCCCAATAAAGCCCAATATTCAACCATGACCAAATGCACATCTAAACGTTCGCTGCTGCTGCTACCTGAGGACCATAGCCGACTTGTGGGTATGGCTCACCAGGTGCCATGAAGTTTGTCTTGGGGTTCTTCTGGGCCTTGGCTGCCGAGCAACGGGCCATGGTTGGCGAGCTGTGTTATGGTCAGTAGATGTGACAAAGTGGGCGAGTAACGTGGAAATGACTTACTTTCTCGAGATGGCATCTGTGAAGAAGAAGTTCTCAATGGGGTTCTTAAGCGCTTGACCAGTTGCTTGTGCGCCCTGGTTCTGGTCTACAAGCTGAACCTTGCTCAAGCTAGGTAGCGATGCGGGTTCAACAAGGTCGTATCTCCTGAGGGCAGGTGAGATCTCTTCCATGCGGTCACGCAGGGCCTCAACATCGTCGTAAGGCAGCTCGGCGCCAAAGTACTCTGATGCCGCTCGGACGATCTTCCAGTCCTCTCTTGAAGCGCCGGGAAGGCCAACAGCAGCACGGGTCATTTGTACACGACCCTCGGTGTTGACGTATGTGACCGACTTCTCGGTGTATGCGGCACCAGGCAAGACGACATCGGCGAGCTGTGCGCCGCGGTCGCCGTGGTGACCTTGGTAGACGACAAAGGCGTCCTTGGGGATGTCGGCTTCGTTAACCTCATCCGCGCCCATAAGCCAGACAAACTTGGGCTTGGTTTGGGCGACCTCAGACGAGGGAACGGTGAAGCCAACCTCGTAGGCACCAGTTCGGGAAGCTGTTCGCTGCAAGATGTTGTAGCCGTTCCACTCCTCGGTGTGGAACTTGTCCTTGTTCTTCTCGACAAAAGATCCAACCTGCTCGTAAATCGACTTGGCGTCAACGTGCTCAGTGACACCACTACCGACGATAATCATGGGCTTCTTGGCCGAAGCCAACTTCTTTCCGAACTCCCCAGAAAGAGCGCTCTTGAGGTCGTTGGCGTTGCTTCCGAGCTTCTCGTACTCGAATGTGCTCTCAAAGTCCTCACCAACGTAGCCAATCTCAAGGTCTGTCCTCAACCACTGCTTCCTGATGCGAGCGTTAAGAACGGCAGCCTCCCATCGGGGGTTGGAGCCAATGAGGAGAATGTAGTCGGCATCCTCAACACCATAGATCCTGGAGTTGAAGGAGTAGTTCGACTTGACATCGATTCCGTGAGCGATGGGTTCGCTGCCACCGGGCTGGTCAAGAGCCAGGTTGTCTGAGCCGAGTCTGTTGGCAAGATCCTTCATGGCAACCAGCGCCTCAGTCTCGACGAGGTGGCCAGCCACAACCTTGAATTCGTTGCCCTTGGGTGCGATCTTCTTGTATGCGTTGCCAATCTCGACCAGCGCCTGCTCCCAGGTGGCGGGCTGGAATTGATCGTCAACGCGGACTAGTGGGTTGACGAGGCGCTGTGTGCTGAGAGCGTCGCAGGCGAAGCGGGTCTTGTCGTTGATCCATTCCTCGTTGATGTCATCGTTGAGTCGCGGGATGACCCTCATGACCTGGATACCACGGGCGTCGATGCGAATGTTTGAGCCAAGTCCATCAAGAACGTCGATGGACTCAGTCTTGTATAGTTCCCATGGGCGGGCCTTGAACGCGTACGGCTTCGAAGTAAGGGCACCGACGGGGCAGAGATCGATAACGTTTCCGGAGAGTTCGGTATCAAGGGCAGTCTCGAGGTATGTGCCGATTTCCAAGTCGTTGCCACGGCCGAAAGAGCCAAACTCAGGAGCACCAGCGATGTCGTTGGAGAAACGGACGCAACGAGTGCAGTGGATGCACCTGTTCATGGAGGTCTGCTATCTGTAAGCCATTTTCTTGGGACCAGACACTGTAGAATCCTACCTTGACCAATGGGCCAACGTTCTTGTCCTCCACCGCACGCTTTCCTTCAAGCTCGTGGAAGCGGCCGCGGTCGGCACCGTATCGCATGGACTGATCCTGGAGATCGCACTCGCCTCCCTGGTCGCAAATGGGGCAGTCCAGAGGGTGGTTGGCGAGCAGGAACTCCATGATGCCCTCACGCGCCTTGTGGACGAGAGGCGAGTCCGTCTTGACGACCATGCCGGGCTGTACAGGCCATGCGCAAGAGGCGACTGGCTTAGGAGCCCGCTCCACTTCGACCAAGCACATACGGCAACTTCCAGCAATCATCAACTTCTCGTGGTAGCAGTATCGCGGGATGGTAACTCCGGCCTTGTCGCAGGCCTGGATGAGGGACGAGCCGGCTGTTGGGGCGCATTAGAACCGTGTGGGCAGTCACGAGGGGGTGTGTTCTGGCTTCGTACCTTCGATTGATACCTTCTCTCCATCTGACACGGGCGTTAGCATACCTCGCCGCCCGCAATGGGGAGTGGCACAAACCGATAGTGAGCTCAACGTCTGCTGGGCGGCGGGCCGAGGCACTCAAGGCCCGGCTGCCATTGAGGGCTGCGCGGAAGGCAGGCCTCCGCAGCGACCGGATCATCTGTTGCCGCAGCATTGTGAGGCTCTGAAAGATGGCGATGGACTTGTGGCTGCGGAGCTCCAACTGACGTTCACGATGGCATCGCTCAGGCTTGGCGACTGAATAATCCAGCCGTGATTGGCCAGTGCGCCGCTCGCGCCTGCCACAAAATTCTCGCCGGCCGCCCTCCGACCTTCTCTTCTTCACTCATTTCGGGCACAATTTATTGTAGGAAAGTTTGGCACTCCACCTAGCTATCCTCTATTACGTGCCCAAGAGCACGACTCACCGTGCGAGGTAGCTGGAGCAGACGAGGTTTTCTGATGATATCTTGTTCCTTACCAACGTCGCTACATTTTGACTGAAGAAGAAGCTTTGCTTGTGTGTGGTGGAGCTTGAGATGGCTCAACGCTCCATGATAGGTGGCGATGAAACTGTACATGCTTTCCACGCTGGCCCACGGCGCGTTGCTCTCGATGAGTTACAACATGGTGGCCACCACTCTTGCCATCATGCCTATGCCGGGGCGGTGTGCGTGTAGTAGAGGTTTTTTTCCGAGCTTGAACCCTGCGGGTATTCGTGAGGCAACATTTGCAAGCAGCCGGGATAACAAGGCGGCAACGGCTTTGATGCAAGAAGTCTATCTGACGCGTGTGGAGGGCCGGTCAGGCTTTCGTACGTGTACCTAGGTATGCGGCTCTGCCAACGTCACGTTTACGCCGGGTCACCGCGGACATCGTGTGCGGGGAAACTCGAGCTACCCATCTCACTTCTTCACAATCACGACTGCATGGTGGTTTCTTCTGATTGAAAAGCTTTTGAAATTGTTTGATCCCTCAAGGGCCTGCGACAAAAGATCTACACTACACCGAAATCATACTTTGACTGGTCTTTCTAGTCTAATGTGCGCCGCAAGAAGTAAAGTTTGCAGCCTCATCGGGCGACTCCCGAACGCCGTGGCAGAATAGTCCGCTCTAAAAAATAAGATTCGTAATCATCGCTTACTCGTTGTCACTCTCAGGGCCAACCTC